ATATATATATATATATATATATATATATATATATATATATATATATATATATATGTCTCTTTCTCACTTCACTTCGTCCGATACTTTGCTCGCACCCTCAGCGAACTCGTTGCTTGCGCGATCTGGCCGAATTCTCGCGTATAAACGTGAGAGCGCGCACGCACCTTGCGTGAGATTAAGCTCTATTTGTAAAGCGCCCGTTATCTATACCGTTCGTCACTGAATCCTCCCGCGAGATCGGGATGGATGCTCCTACGATCGTGAGCGGATACGATCGGCCACGTCGTGCACTTTTTCGAGCACCCACGGCTTTCGCGTTCTCGCACTATCGTCCGCGAATCGGCATGGCGAGCACTGTGTAGCGCGGAATCGCGTTCGCACTCGTCACTCGCGACGCATCTCCACCAGTGTTTACGGTCGCGCGGCTCGCTCGATTCTGACTGGCGCGCGCTCGAGGTCGGCGGGGCGCGGGCATCGCGCGCTCTGCGTCGCGTAAACAAAGCGCGACCGTTGCTTTCATCCACGAAAACTCAACGGAATTGACTTCGATCTCTCTCAAGTGGCACGACTGCGCTCGCTCGTCGAAATACGAGTCGGTACACCGGACACCGTGCTGGCGATCGGACTGACATCTGCCGCGAATTTTCAAATTCCCGCGGACGCGCTTGAGATAATGAGAGGCTCCAAATATGGCGGCGGGTGCAAACAACGCGGCGTCTAAAGGCGCGACTTACGTGTTACCGCCGCGCACACCTGCGAACCGGTTGATCACCTTCGTCGTCACGCAACGACGATCGGAACCGATCGATTGCGCCGTCGGTCGATGGCGAGATCCTCCAGGGCGTCCCGGCGGCTCGATTCTTGCTCCTGCCGAAAATCCTCGTAAGTCGGAGCAGGTGCGGAAGATGCCGGTTTACGCCGTGAGGTACCACGGCCTGCTCCTCCTCTTCTCCCGAGAGAGGAGTCCGGGCGCGAGCGAACGAACGAACGTATGTACGTACGTACACGGAGACTGGTTTCACGAGGCTCCCCCGTGTCCACGACCGGCCAGACTACTTCTCGAGGAGCGATAGAACGGGACGGTGCGACGAGCGCGAGCGCGAGCGCGAACGAGACAGACGGACGTATGGACGGACGGCCGGCCGGCTCGCCGCACAACGCCGCGCCGCGAGAGAGCGCGCGCGCACGCGCGCAGAGGAGAGTGCGGTGGGTCCCGTTCTACGGAAAGAGGCTTATTCCAGCGAGGAAGTACTGTTACTTAGACGGGGGCCCAGCAGCGGGGGTCGTAACGTGCCGTGACGCGCGGTCCGGGACGCGTGCTGCATGTAATTTCGGTGGGAAGAAAGAAAGAAACAGAGGACTGCGACGACTGGTCGGCGTGCGCGATTTTCTCAACGAACGGCTCCCGCACCGTGAACTTTCGCGGCTTTCGCTCGTTTCCCGGCCGGCGCGAGCTACGTATCGACGGATACCGTCGTCGCGTAGACAACAGTATCGTTCCCCCTGCGCGCGACACAGGTGGCGCCGAGGGCTCCTTTTACAACGGGGTTAACTTTTGACACCGCGAGACACGTACGATTTGTTTTTCATTCCGCCTGTTCTCGTCACGAGAGATTCGCGCACAGAAAGCTCAACTGCTGAGGTCACTCGCTTACTGTCTATACCGCCGCGTCGTTACCGTGGCCGCGTTTGCGTCTCGAACTCGGCTCTTCCCGCCCAGGCAGAGAAAGCGCGGAAGGAAGGGGATGTGGGGTCGAGGTAATGCGGCGCCACTGCGCTGTGTAAACAAATCGCGTCGCCGCGAATGTTTGTGTACTACTCGCGATATCAGAGTCTCACGTAACGTAACACGTAATACACGTATGTACTGCGCGCGTATGTGTGTGTGTGTGTGTGCGTATGTGTGTGGCACTTGTGCACGGGATGCCCCCCGGTCACCTGCTTTATCCTGCTGGACGACACGTGCGGGTAGGTAGGTGGACGCAGGTAGCCGATGCTTTGCGTGTTTCGCGTCGCCGCTCTCGACGGTGTGTTCCCGTTTCCCGAGCCGGAGAAGGATACACACGCTCACATGTCGAGCGAGAACGCGCGACTGTTGCGCTTGGGTCCTCTCTGTCTCTCTCTCTCTCTCTTTCCCCCGCTCTTTCTCTTTCTAGCTCCCTCTGACTTTTCGTCGACGTCGCGGTGCGCGGAACGATACGGAGCGTACTCACCGCTCGATGGTCGCGGCTCGACTGGACGGCCGACCACCTCCGCACCATTGCTCGCCACACTCACGCTCGTAAACGCGCGATCCGGCGCCCCGTAGCTTCCACTCGAAGCTGAGACAGGATGGAGCGGATAACGAGAAAATTCCCGGACGCGACGGATTAAATAGGGCGAACGCGCTCCGTCGTGATGTCGCGCTTGTGCCCGTTTCTACCAACTTCAGTTAACTTAACCAGCTGATAACTCCAACGAAATTGAACTATCGTATTTCTCGTTAGTCGAAATGACAGATGCGACTGGTCAATTCCGTTGGAATAGCCAAGTCGGTTAACTAGTTAAGTTAATCAAAGCTGGTAGAAACGGCCATTTGGTGAGAATAAGCCTCGTTTTTATAACCTCACTCTTCGAACTCTTCTGTTTGTTGCTCCAGAATGAGTTCTGAAGAAATTACTCGAAAAAATGGATCTCTCTCATCGGATCGGTGTTGCTTTCCAATTACTCCTCATATACACCGCTGCACCATAACATTTCAATTAGAGTTGCTTGTACGACTTCCAACCTTTCATACAATGCGTAAGATTGAACCTTGACCTTAGCCTCAGCGAATTGTACTTATATTGATCTGCGCTTGAAGGAATCTGTCGCAGAACGTTGAATAAATTGTGCTTTAATAGCAATAATAAGTATACGTTAAAGAGTGCGTACAATTGGCGCACAAAATGTTGATGTACAAGCTGGATCAGTAGATTTTAAAAAATTTGTTTTTATATATTAGAGGAAATTGTGTAAGGAATGTGTTGTCTATGTATAAGCAATATGTTTACTTATCTTTTATATGAAATTTATATTTATGCAAGGTGAATCACCTTACGTTAGATTTTAAAATATCTCTGTTGCTTTTTATATCTAAAGAGAACACGCATGGGATAAATTATGCAGTTGGAAGGGCTGCCTTTGATCACAATATTTATTTCTTCCGACCACACAATTTATTCCTCATATATTTTCCTATGATATAAAAAACAACAGAGATATTTTAAAACGTAAAAGGTCACTCACCATATAGACATATATTTCACATAAAAAAGTAAATAAACATATCGTTTATGAATTGCTTAATGAGCAGAAAACCTTTGCATACAGAGCAAATTTTATAGAGAAAATTACTGTAGAACTTTGTAACAGAGAAATAAATCGACATTCTGTGACAATCCTTTATCCTTTCATTTCACATATACTACATATATTCAAGGAACAAAATTATGTGCTAATTAAAACATTCGTTATGTTTCCAGCAAAACTTGCTATATTCCTTAGCAAGATAGACCTTATTGACAGTCAGTTTTCCTGGACTACTAGAAACACAGTAAAATTATGAAGAATTCATATTTGAAGGAAAAAAAGAAACCCATATAATATTCTCTCTATGTAAAAATCGAATTTAATTTGTATCTAATTGTTTTTAGGAACACAATATGTTAACTACTAACTTGAATCTAATTGTTTTAGGAACATGATATGTTAACGTCGGCCGAAGCGATTACAGCTGGGTGCAGTGTCGAAATTGAATGTTACATACGTACGTACCTGCGCGTGTTCTCGCGTAAACACGTAAGTAGGCTGTGTACGCGGCCGCGCGTGTGCGCGAGAGCGTGAGGTGAGCGGGTGTAACCGGTTCCACCGATTTTTTCACGAAAAGCACTCGTGACGCTTTATAAAATTCTACGTACCCTTTGTCGTCGTCGTCGTCGTCGTCGTCGTCGTCGTTGGATGTCACGTATGCGTGTGCACTCGCTCAGTCGCGCATGTCGCGAACTTAGCCCGAACAAGCGCGATGTTTTGACGCTTATACGAGGATCCGTGCAAGCGTGACTTTATTCTCTTTCTTTATTTTTCTTCATTTCTGCAGGCACGGGGAGCCCGGTGGATCCGAAAAGGCTCCGGCATTTTTCACCGTCGACGAGTCTCGCAAGACGAGCGATAAAATACGCTAATGCGGGACGATAGCGCGCTCCAAAAGCCAGGCGCGTTTCTACGGATCGTGAACGAGAAAAGGCACGTTCTCCAGTCGCAGGGAGATTCATCTCACGAACAAAATCGCAGAGTGCAGCGTCGCTCGTGTGTTAAATAACATTCGGCAAGATTATCCAGCAGCTGACTGTGCGAGCGGATCGCGGCGAAGATTTCACGATTAGCCGGGAGAAACGTAGCTCCAGCGAAAATTATTCGCGCTAACTGTAACGTTACGCTTTGTGTAATTCGCAACCGGGAATAATCGCGCGTTACTTGAAATCTCTGATTAACATAATTAATTTCAATTCGTCAGTAGAGAGATTCGTGTATAATTTATCGTGGACCAATATTCCATTATATATTAAGAGCTGAGTTTCGTGAAACGGATTATTCGAAAACCACTGCATATTATTCATGAAACCGTGATTATCCATCGACAACGAGTGACCGACTGTGCCGATTACCGTATTCGCTGTTATTATCGATCCCGTATCGTTGATAAACACACAAATAAACAGATGTATGTACCGTTAGTAGAATCCACGATTATTCGAATGTAATAGATACACGAATCGCACTTGTACCGTCATTAAGGTTCCTCGTCGAGGGACTCTCGTCGGAGGCGGGAAAATACACGATCTTGCAAATACACGATTTGCATCAAAACAAAGAGATACATCCATAAAATGGCACTTGCAATCGATGTGACACATATGTAAAATAGTCTACTGTAAAAAAAATTCCTCTTGCTACAACAATCAATAAATTACCGTAAAATTAACGTGACATGCAACCTATGACTCTCATGATTTTGACACGTTAACATTGCAGTTATTTATTGATTGTTAAGACAAAAGGAAAGTGTTTGGGCTGTTTTACACATCTGCTCGATTGAGTGTCATTTTATGGATACGTTTTTTCATTTCTATATATTTTGCAAGAATTTTTAGTATGCATTTTCTCGCTTCTTACGTCACAAGTCAAGACAGCAAGGAATCAGAAGCTCTAAATCGCTGTTATGCAAGAAAATCTGATTAGTTCATAATTATGTCGCGATTTTTGTTCACACGTTTTGCCGGCCTACGTGATAAACCCTTTTTTCCATCGAATACTCTCTCGACGTTACTGCCCCGCGTCAATTGTTCTCGGTTCGCTTGGCTTCATATATTTTTTTTTTCTTTTTTTTCAGCTAGTTCGTCGAGAGGACTGTGCACGCTCCACGGAACTCCGACCAATAACGGAGATCCGGTGGCATGACACCGTCGACAGAGCAGTACTCCGTCATCGCGAACACGACAAGAAGCAGCTTTCTGTCCTCCGTTTTCTCAAGACTAATACATTTTCGTCGTTCGATCAACTACACATTTTTATCTCTTACTTGTCTGTAAGTGAATCGATTTTTATCCTATACTGTGTCACACGAAAATCCGTAAGTCGCGATAAAGATTACAGTTGCGTTCGATTTTATAAGCGTGGCCGCTATTACGTAACATGAATAATTGATATACCCGTAATACGATTTTCAGTACGGCGTCGTTAATTAACGACGTGTCCAGCGCCAGAGGGGGAATTATTCACTCGGATCTTTCGCGGAAAGCAAATTAATTCGGATGAAACCAATCAGTTGCGTAATATTGCATCGAGAGGCAGCGAAATTATGCAAAATTTTAAACCAAACCGACATTAGCCGAGAACAATGGAAAATGGAGAGAGAAAGAGAGAGAGCGGGACAATGAGAAGGTATTTTAAGGTAAAATTTTCAAAGGATTATGATTTTTAATTTCACGAGAACTGTTGAGAATTCTGTTCCCTTTGGTATAATTATTTTTTTTCTTTTCAAGCTATTCGAGTATCCATTACCGGTGAGACGAGATTTATTATCTCGTCAAAATAACACTAGCTCATCCCTGCTTATGTGTGTGTATGTGTGGAGGATTAACGAACACGAGCGCAGGCGTGACGCCTTTGATGCTGTACTTAATAAATTGAGTCGTTAGAAGTTCGGGCGGAACACACAGCGCAAATAATCCACGGTGACATACGCAAACTGTCACGGCGGTGCCGCAGTCGCTGAAAAATCAAACGATGTACGCGTGCATACGCGACATTACTCGCGAATACATGAAGGCGTGTCGCGCCGCGAATTGCCCCTTTGAAATATTCAGTCGAATAGTTGAAGTCACACCGAAAATAAAACTCGACTACGCGTACAATACTTATATTTAAAAAAAATTTACTTGCGATATCGCAGTTGCGATCATAAAAACCCGCGGCGGTCACAGAACGTGACAGATTGTGATGAGAAATTTGCATGTGTGAAAAGGAGTTTTCCCAAATATTTCATGAAAAATCGTGAATATACGATCGAATCGACTATCAATCATTTTTGCTGCACAAGATTCCGATAATGCCTTCTTCCATCCGGTTAAAATATTTTGGCATTGTATTTGCATATGTCAATTATTCTCAAAACCAGCAATCATGATATACGATGCCCATACTAAAATATCCTAGCTGAAAATAGAAGATATTATTGGAGTCCTGTGTAACTGATTCGTTCATCTGCGCCGATTCGTTTCCGATAGCTAAGACAAACTTCTCTCATTGCTGCAATCTTTCTTTAAAGTGCTGAATTTAATACACGACTTATTCAGTTGCTGGTAAAGCAGCACGCTGCTGGTGAATGTCGAGGAGAGAAAGGAAAAGACTAAGGATTACCTGTTTGCCGACAAGACCAGTCGCCGGTCTGAACTGTGTGAGACGATCACGTTTATTATACTCTGTGTATTTGTAGGAAGCACGAAACAGCCTTTCCTATGGAGCGCAATGCCATCTGAAGGTACAGTTGCAAAGTACGCCTTTAAAGCTACGCGTTGCGATAACGAACAGGGCCCTTATTCTTGAAATAGTTGCATAAATTTTACTGCGCGGGTTTAATCATACCATAAAATAGCTGCGCAATGAAAATTACAATACGCAAAAATTTCAAGAATATGGGCTAAAAATTAAAAAAATATATGTATTGGTATTTTAATATAATATAGTAATTTTCTAGTTACAGTCATGTGATTGAAGAAAATATTTAAACGATTGCACAAGATTTTAGAAGATTTCTTTCTTTTTTTAAAAGAAAGAATATTACGTTGAATTAAAAGTCCATGGTGTCCGTCTGCTGCACACTTAATCACTTCAAACTAAAACTCTGTGCGGCAGCGATCACTTGGCATTTTTGTAGTTCCATCTTCTGCTCCTTCAGCTTCAGAAGCTTCGTCTGCAACTCCAATTCTTTCTGTTTCGCGACCATCTTCTCCCTGTGCCGTCTCTCCTTGTTCTTTTCAGCCAGCGCAAAATTCTTTGCCATTTCCTCGAGAAATTTCTCGAACATTATTGTTAATAATGTTCGCTGTTGAGCTGGTGTCTCTTCGTTGTTTCTTTCGTTAGTCGCAGTGTTAGATGTTAATGACGACTTCAAAGGATCCTCATATTGTCTACAGTTGTCTCGATTACAACCGATTTTCGGCACGATCGAGGAATGCTTGACCGAGCCGTTCGTCGGTTGCGACTCGTTCTGCTCCAAGTACACGCGCTTCTTCTTCTCATTGAAGATCTCGTCCAAGGCTCGCTTGTGCTCCCATTGCCCGTAGTGCCTCATCCTGCCAGGCTTCTTTAGCCGTTCACGATACACCAGGTTCTTGTACTTGCGCTCCAGCACTCGCCACTTATTCTCGCACTTCTGTGGGGTAAAGTAGAAGCCGTAATTCTGCATCTCCAGCGATATCATCTCAAACATCTCCCGCAGACTTCTGATCTGCGTGGACTGCCCGACCATCGATCGATACTTCTTGTATTGGCTGATGAGACAATTGGTAGCCTTACTGGTCCATAAATTTACCGTATTCACGTCCACGCATGTTGGTAACGTGGTGGCAGTCTCAAAATTCGGAAAGCTGTTCTCGTGTTCCTCCACGACATAACATCGGAGAGTTGGCTCCACTTTAACCTCTGGGTGAGCATCAATCGTAATCTCTGTGGAAAAGCGACATAGCAATCTCATAAGCAGAACAGGTCGACATTAAAATTGTTAGGCATTAAAATATTAGTTGGTAATCGACAAAAATCAATAATGAAAATTAATCACTCGTTATATATAAAATCACGTAGAACTTCATCAATTGATAAAATTAATTATTAATAATATTAATAATCAAACGCTATTAGATTTGGTTTCCGGGTTTGAGCCGCGTGGATTCATTTTTGTTTGATTTCGACTAATATGCATGGACACCGTGAAAGCGTAAAAAATCAAATCAAACGCTGACTATATACTGATTAAGAATTAATTTCAATTGATTAAATTATTCGTGATTTTACATATACTGCCCTTATAGAAATATCATACTAAGAATCATTGATAATTACTTATTTTCAGTATTAAAAATACTGAATAATAAGTAATTATCAATGATTCTTAGTATGATATTTCTATAAGGGTGAGAGAAAGAATATCTAAAAAATAAGAAATATTTATTTGATAAACACTAACATATTTAATTTTGTATTAAAATATATCTAGAGAGAAAATTTTTTCTAATGGAAAAAAATAATTTTCCTAAAACTGTCACTTCTAACAGAAGCAATTGTTTATTCTATTTAAACAGAAGAATTCAAATTTAAATTAATATGTTATAAATATCCACCAAATATTTTTTTATTTCTCCGATATTTATAAAATAAACTTTATTTTACAGAAATAAATTTTATATTGCACAAGTAAATTTTTAAGTATTTTCTCAGCGTGTATGATACTAATGACTAATTTGAGTTTTCCCGCGTCGGTGACCGCATCCAATACTACAAGCACTCAGTGAGCTCTTGGATTTGATTGGTTTGTACTTTTAGATCTGAAAGTGTAACCAATCAGATCCAAGGACTTATTGAACAATTGGGTGCACCTAGTGACACGACAGTAGGAGTGTGTTTGGAAACGTCACTAGGATACACTGAAATGAGAGAAATACGAGAGTGAAATAAAGAGAGAGAGAAAAAGAGCGAACCCAGGTGACGTTTTCGAACGCACTCTAGGTCTTTCTCTTGTAGCTCAACCACAACATACTTTCGGAACATAAAAAAAACAGATATACATATAGCAGTGACTTGTTGTAAAAGAGAGAGAGAGAGAAAGAGAGAGAGAGAGAGAGAACTGGTGCAACCAGTTCAACTACAAAGAACAAACAAAGTGAGAGATCTGTTCTTCTTCGAAGAATTTTCTGAATTGGTGTACACTAGTGCAATTGGTTAGAGTGAAACAAGTATATCTTGTTCCACTCTGACTTCTCTTGCGTATACCAGTCGAGTGAGTTGGTCGAAAAAGAACAGGCCTACGGTGGTAGTCAACGCACGGCTCGTCCACTCCCGAAATCACGAGTCGCCGGCTTAAAAGACGCGTATGTAGCTCTTCGAAGGACTCGATCGAGACGATGCGACGTAAACAGCGACGTTATCTTACCTCTTTGCTCTGTGCTGTCGGTCATGTTGCGTCGACGCTGTGATCTCCCTGAGCGATCTGATCGAAGTGCCCCGACTAGCACGCCGCACGGTTCTTGCGGGGGGCCGAAAAACCTGAACAAACTAGTTTCAAACTGCGGCTGCTGACCTCAAACTGGTTCCGTACGCGTCACGGACTCGCATCCGTTTGCGCCAACGGACGGCGGCGCAACTTCAAGTCGTTCGCGCGCGACTTGATCGATCTGTATGCACAGGTTTGGAACTTATTTGAGATCGGTGGTGAGCCGTATTTTCCAGGCGTTTTGAAATGCCGGTTACACCGAGCGGCGTCGTCGGAAAGGTGCAAAGGTGAACTCCATGGAGAATCGACGGCGCGTTTCGGTTTACGCAAACCGCCCGTCGGAACCGTCGCGCTTCAAATGGAAACTTGTCGTCGCGACAGAACTAGTTTTTTTTTTAGGCGAACGAACCTTCGGCGACAGAGACTTTCTAATAGACGTCGAGACGTTGTTCGAGCTGCGGTTTATGCTTGAGAAGCTTCTCGTTTTGTCGCGTGTTGTCATCGTTTAAACATTCGTCGTCGTTCAGTGCGAGTGGAAGTCAGGAGAATGATACGCTTCGACGTGCCGTATCTATCGAGGCGAGGATTACGCTTTGGCGGGAATAGGAAGTGACTGTCTCGGAGCTCTCGGCAAGCTCTTACGGGGCACACGTAATGCAGTGTTTTTAATTATAACTCAGAGGCCCCTTCGAACCGGCGTTCTCGGCCAATTTACGTTCCGCAAGTCTAATACAAGTATTTCCCCGCTTGTGTTCTAGGTTACATCATAACTTCATAAAATTCATGATGCAATCGAACGAGAGTCATTACTTACGCCAACCGACAACATTACGATGAACGGTGATTCTCCCATGCAAGAGTGTTGGACTTTTTATGCAGAACACAACTAATCGAACCTTACACCTTCGTTCCGCGTGAGCCGCATATTGCTCGGAATGCGCACCAACGAGTTGTTCGTACGAGATAAAATATTTTCGCACCGACGCATTCGGTAGACGCGTGCACTGAGAAGAAAATACTTGGAAATTTATATTTGTGGGATATAAAGTTCGTTTCTGTGAAATAAAGTTAATTTCTGCGAACAAGCTTTATAAATTTTTACATATCTTTTTCTCAGTGTAGTCGCAGCATGAATGTAACAGAGTTACTCTTGTTAAAAATACAACAGTTTTCATTAACCTTTGCAATGGGTGATCTAAAATGACTACGTGATTTTCTCTACAAGCTCTTTTTCTCCTAAATAAGGATATCTACACAAAGAGCATTTTATTAGAAAATCATAATGTAGAATTTTATGACTGAATAGATTGATATTCTGCAGTAATTTATTATTCTTTCATTTTATACAAAAAAAAACATTATTATCTATTTAAAGCTAATATATTCGAATTAACAATCATTGTTTCATATATAAGTAACCATGTATAATTTTGTTAGAGGAATTTTGAAATCGTGAGTTTTAGTAATGTTATAATTTTATTTGAATATTATAATAGTCTTATAAGAGGTAAAATACGATAATTTTTATAATAATGAAATCTTCTATCTTTTTGCAACATTTAAAAACATTATATTCTCAATGCAATATTTTGTGGTTTCTACTAACCAGAATTATTTTTAAATAATAAAAATGTTCTTTTTTTTGTTAAATTATATAAAATATATTGATACAAGCAACTTATCTTTGTTTAATGTTGCGCAAGCTCATTTTTGAGATTAACACGTCAAAGATAAAGATATTTTCATTAATAAGAATGTTCTTTATTCTGTGTATGTGCTATTTATATTTTAGAAACTGAAATGTACTATGTTTCCAACGAAATTCAACGTTTCTTGGCAAGATAGATTTCACTGATAATCCATTCCTGCTCTATGAAAAACACAGTAAAACCGAAGAGAATTTTTATGAAAACAAACTATAATATTCTCTTTGTGTAGATTTCCTTTCTTTTTACAGCTGTTTTCTTTGAAGTAAAAATTTTGAAGGATAGAGATATACGAAGTATATCTAATTTTCATCTGCTATGGAAAGTTAAAAAAATATAATAATTTACAATTATAACAGTTAAATACAATAGTTTAAGTTTAAGAGAAATTAAGATTTCCCCACAAAAAAATTTTATACACAGAAAAAAAAACATTAGTATCTACTTAAAATTAATATATTCGAATTAACAATTATTGTTTCATATACAAGCAACGATATATAATTTTGTTAGAGGAATTTTGAAATCATGAGTTTTAGTAATATTATAATTTTATTTGGTTTCTTATTTTATTTGAGTCTTATAAGAGGTAAAATACGATGATTTCTCCGGGCGTATCACTTGAAGCATTAATGGAACTCGCTGGGTTGTGTCGCTTGCGTCACTTGGATAATTGGTTTCCCTCGAGAAAGACGCGGAACTTCCGATACATCCTGCGCTTCGTCAGTTTAAATGTTTTTTGTGCACGCAGCTTGGACGCGCGTAACCGTATTCTTATTCATGTGATTGCCATCGTTTACCCGCGTGGTCGCAATGGGAGCGAGAACAAGGATTAAGGCTCTCTCGTCGGTGTAAAACGCAGACGGCCGAATCACGCGAGAGCAGTGATCGTCGATGTAACGACCAGCCGTAGATAATTCGCCCTGCTACCGAGTTCGCATCGAGACGGACCTTTCACCGCTCTTACCGATAATTACGCGCTCCTCAACACCCCTCGAACAATCGCAAAACCGCGAGAATACGGAAGCGACGTCGAGGTAAGGGAACGTCGCGACGGCGAAGCGCCACTTAGCAGCTATCAAACGGAGCATATCGCCATTTTGTAACGCTCGCTTCGACGGTGCTCATTTGAATAACGTTAATCACGTCTGCCAGGATGGTGATTCTGTTTCGTCCGGCGAATACAATTATGTAGTACCGCGACGAGAACACCACGTGGTTACGCGGCCGTAGAAAGGCATGAATCGCGGTAAATAGAGAGGCCATGCTTCGCTTTCCCCTCGCAAGCAGCTGGGCGTACCGTTGAAATTTCGAGTCGGTTCAAAACTCGTCAGTTGCCATCGCGAATCCTTCAAGAATAAGGACGAGGACAACGAAGTCGTCGTACCCTCTTGACGCAGCGGCGAGCCTAGCTTCGATTTTTTGTCCGCGTGTCATGCGGTCGACACGAGCGCCGCTGCGCTGCGCTCGCTCGCTCGCTCGCTCACTCGTTGACGTTTCATGCATAACGTTCGAGAGGTAGAATGCGCGCGCGCACGGCGGGAGAGCGGCGAGAAAGGCGCGCGAGGAAGGGTGAACCGGCGCGCATAGAAGGCAGGAGGGCGAGGAGACGGCAATCTCCGGTGGCGGGACAGATGGGAGCGCGAGACGGGCGCCTTTCCTTCGAGGGGTTTTGTGTACGCGGGCGAGCAAGCGAACGAACGAGCGAGCGGTGAGCCCGGATACTTTCGATTTCGTCGAGCGGCGGGCCCGTTGACTCTCGCCCGTCGACGCGAGTGAGAGAAAGAGACCGCGCCGTGGCTTCGTGCTCCAGGAGGCGAACGAACATGCCAGTCATCGCGCGGTAAAGCAACGCGTGCATTCATCGGCCGCGTCGCGGTGTCCATCGAGATATCGTGCCGTGCCGTGCGCGAGAGGCCGCCGTCGCCGCCTCCTCGTTCACGTCGAGAACGCGAAACGTTTCGTGCGGTCGCGGCAGGTGGACGCGCGTGCCGCGTTCTTGTGAAACTTCCGATGAGAGAGTGCGACGGTATGGAGAAGCGATCGATTTTCGCGTAGTCGCCGAAGCGTCGGCTCTACATGGCGATCGAGGAGCGCGACGACAGGCAACACCGGTAGTGGAGAGACCGAAGGGGAGCGAGCGAGCGAGCGGGGACCTTGCGTAGAGAACGCGCCGGAACGTGCTTGTCCCGTCGCCGCGTCTCCGTTTCTCTTCTCTCTCTCTCTCTCTCTCTCTCTCTCTCTTTCTCTCTTTCTTTCCCTCCCGAGCGGACCTGATCGTGAGTGCGCGCGCGTGCTCGACCGTATGCTCGGCGTGTCAGCAGTCATCGATTTTCCGGCGATCGTGTTGCCGCCGGCAGAAGATCGCGCCAACGGGAGTGATGAAGTGAGAGGTAGCCGCGGTGCGCGCGTCCGGAGTAACGCGTGAGGACAGAAGTCGACGTATGTGCGTACGTACGCACGCACGCACGTCGCCGTCGTCGCCGTTGTCTCGTGTGTCGCCAGGAAGCTCCGAGGGACGATAGGCGGAAAAAGAGAGAAAGAGAGAGAGCTGTCGTGAGAGCGCGCGTCCAACATGGCTACCGCCGGCAGCAACGCGCCGACAAACGCCGGCATCGAGACGAACGGCGGCAGCAACGTGCCGCAGTGGAAGCGCGACCTGATACAACGCCGTCGTCAGCAGAGCAAGGTCCTCGCGAATAACGGCGCGAGCGTGAAGCTATGCAGCGCGGTGATCGGAACATCGTCATCGTCGGCGACGGACGGCGGCGTCGAGCATCACGCGACAGCGCTGCAGGAGTATTGCCCGGTCGCCGGCACGCTTCGCGCTGTGCGCTCGACGACGATGACGACGACGACGACGACGACGACGACGACGACGACGACGACGACGACGACGAACAACGAGTGTAACAACGTGTCGAACGTTTGCATAGCTGCTGGTAGCAGTAGTAACAGCAGCGGTAACGCGCTGTTGTCCTCCTCCCCCTCCTCGTATCCCGCGAGAAGGCCGCCGCCGACTGGTGGCGCCATCACGGTCGCGGTAGCGACGGCAACGGCCGGCGACTTGGCGTCGGCAGTCGCGTACAACATGCGTCTCGAGGCGGACTTGTCGCTCTGCTCGGACGCGGAGGATGTTGTGAACGGCGCGCCGGCCAAGTTCGCGGCAGACACGTCGGAACGCAAATCGTCGGAGTACGACCCGGTGGGTGAGAACGAGGAGGCGACGGCCACCACGAGGACGTCGGACGGCGGTAGAGTGAGAACGAGCGGCGGCGGCGGCGGCGGCGGCGAGGCCATCAACGCCAGCGAGAACGCGTCGACGTCGCAGCGCGACGAAATTCGCACCACGCTCCTCGTCGTCGGACGTGGCAGCGGCGGCGGCGGCGGCGGCAGAGACACTCACGGCGAAACGACGCTCGGCGGCAGAACGATGAAGGAACAGTCGCGGGCTGTCGCGATGACGGCGAATCGCTCGTCCAACGAAGACGCGGAGAGCGACAGTTCCGAGGAGTTGCAGTACGGCCCGGGGATCGTCAATAAGCTCAAGAGCAAGTACCTTAACCTCACTTTGCGCGAGACGAACAAGAGCCGCGCGTCGGTGCAGCGGTTTCGACGCGCGGCCAGCCTCGAGGACCTGCTCGACCGCGACGACGACGAGACAGCCGGCCACGAGAAGACGGCCGCCACGAGGAAGTATGCGAAGCGGGACGGTCCGACGGGCGGCGCCGTCGTCGTCGCGGTGCCTAAGAGCGACAGGTATCGAAACGCTTCTCGCGGCAACGACTCAATGAAACGGGCGCGCAGCGTTGAGACTCTGATGAGGTACAACGGCGCGCCGACGGACGAGACGACGAGTGCGGTGCGCGCGGCATCGGCCGGCCGTCCGGCGACCAACGGCGTTGGTCGCCAGGAACCGGTCAACGACCATATCATCCTCGTGGACCGCACGTCCGTGAAGATCGAGAGCCGGCTGGGCGACCTCGATCGACCCAAGCCGGTCAACAAGCCGAAGAGGATCAAGCCGGTGTTGGCGGAGACGGAACGGCCGCCGCCGGATCTAGTCAAGACCACGATGAGGATCTTCGAAGGCTCGGCGAGGAAGCTGAAACCCAAGGGTGAGGTGGCCGCGAAGGTCGCGACTTTCAAGACCATCAACGACACGTTCAAGGCGCAGACGACGCAGAAGAAGCTGGTGATGCCGAAACCGCCGGTGCAGCCGAAGCCGTTCGTCAACGGCAGCGCTCGCGGCGCCGCCGCCGCCGGGACCAACGTCCTCCTCGGCTCCCCGAAGAGGATCGTCCTGCCGCACAAGCCGACGGCGGAGCTGATCGAGACGCAGGATGGCGAAGTGGAGTACCACATAGACGGTGTCATCACCGAACCAATCGTGCAGTCGGTGTCGTCAGTGGTCAGCAAGTTCCAGCAGATCGAAAAGTCGCACTCGCCTTCACCGTCGCCGGAGCCCTCGAGCTATCAGAAGCTAAAGTTCTCCCCGGCGAACAGTCCGGAACCGCCGCCGGCGGCTTCCTGCAAGTCCAAGTCGCCCGCTTTGGAAATCACGATCAAGTCGCCGCCAGTCACACCGGTGCTCTCGCCGAGGATACCGTCACCCAGACTGCAGAGCCCGTCTTCTCCCGTCAAGGACTCGACGGTTCGGTTCCAGGCGTCAAATCTGCCTCACAAACCACCGCTGCCAAGTCCTGGGGCGAGAGAGTCCTCGAGAATAGAGTCTTCGGAACCAACCAAGCCATCACGCCCGCAAACTGAGAAGGAGCCCGCGAGAACGAGCGTTGAACATCCTCAGCAGCAACCGCGACTTCCGGAATCATCGTCCGCTCACGTGGAACGGAAAGACGACGCGACGGAAAATGCCGTCGTCGTCGTTGGCGAGGAGGAGATTGTGGACGGGCCGAGAAGCATCTCCAAAAACGCTCTGGACAATATCAGCAGAGCCGGCACGACGATGCAGTTCAACTTCGGCGACAAGCCCACGACCAACAAGAGTTATCTACCAGGCGCGAAGCGAAACGGACAGACATTCGCGGACGAACGGCCACCAGATGACGACCGCCGCTGCCACGTGAACGCCGGCAGAACCGAGTCCAGAGGAAAGTCGGCCTCATCGTCGAGTGCACCATTGAATGTTGTCGTAACGACCTCCGAGACTGCGTCGAGCAAGCTGCAAGAGAGGCTCGAGCTGGAGAAGGAGGAGAAGGTCGACGATGACAAGAAGGAGAACGTCGAGGAGAAGCCGATCGTGCCGGAAAGTAAACCCATCGGCGCCATTTGCAGTTTGGGCCTGATCAAGTCAGCGACAACGACGACCACGACCACGACCACGTCGTCGTCGACATATCCGCAGAGTAACAACGAAGCGAGAACGATAAGATGCCAAAAGAGTGAGTTCTCGCCGCCGCAGAAGCAGATCGGCATCATACGGCCGCTGGTCACCACGAAGACGCAACATACGCAGCAGAATCTGAGCAACCGCGAGCTCGAGAAGAATCTGATCAACCGGGTCAAGAGCATCGAGCAGCCGACCAAGGTCGTGGTGAGCCTGAAGAGCGCTGACGAGATACAGCCGGCGAAGAAGACGAGCGCGGCAGGCGTTGGAGGCGGCGGCGGCGGCGGCGGCGGCGGCGGCGGCGGCGGCGGCGGCGGCGGCGGCGGCGGCGGCGGCGGCGGCGGCGGCGGCGGCGGCGGCGGCGGCGGCGGCGGCGGCGGCGGCGGCGGCGGCGGCGGCGGCGGCGGCGGCGGCGGCGGCGGCGGCGGCGGCGGCGGCGGCGGCGGCGGCGGCGGCGGCGGCGGCGGCGGCGGCGGCGGCGGCGGCGGCGGCGGCGGCGGCGGCGGCGGCGGCGGCGGCGGCGGCGGCGGCGGCGGCGGCGGCGGCGGCGGCGGCGGCGGCGGCGGCGGCGGCGGCGGCGGCGGCGGCGGCGGCGGCGGCGGCGGCGGCGGCGGCGGCGGCGGCGGCGGCGGCGGCGGCGGCGGCGGCGGCGGCGGCGGCGGCGGCGGCGGCGGCGGCGGCGGCGGCGGCGGCGGCGGCGGTGGCGGCGGCGGTCTTTGGGACACGAAGCCGTGGAATCAGCAGAATAATACGATGGTGTTCAACTTCAGCAATCGCAAGGAAGTGCCGGATTACATAGAGAACGACGGTCTCATCATCAGGAGAAAACGGGAGAAGCCAAAGGTGAGTCACCGATTAAAATTCAATTACTGCGTTTTCGCTCACCTGAGAAAAATCTCTCTCGCTTCAGAACGGTTTAAATAATCTTCGGAGGCCGTGTCAGAATTCACCTGGATAATTTCTTTTAGTGGTAGATACGGATATTTATTACTTTAGCTACATTGCCAAAAAAAAGTTTGATTCACAGCGTACGTTTAAACGAAAAAATGTTGGCACTACCCAGCAATATCATATAAATATTATTCAACTACATTAACAGCTTTTTTGCTGCATTCAGAACACATCAGCTATCACTTATTATCGTTGATACAAATATGCACTTTCAAAAACCTCATTAGAATATTTCGGCCCTAATTTTTTAGTGTCAGACACAAAATTTTAAATTTTTCGGCTACAACTACATTATATTAATGTACTGACGTAATATAATTAAAATGTAATATAATTAAAAGTTAACATTATATTTATTTTATAAAGTGAAAAAAAATTATACTTTTTTAAAAAACAGAATTAGTAGCGCGAAAGGGTTAATGGTCTTGTATTATTCTTCATTTGGCTGTATTCCAAATACAGATACTTTGATACATAGTTTAGCATTAGTTAGCAAAACTTTTTCTCTCACTGGTCGATACGCCTCCGATGTTTACCTTCGATAACCGCTCGATTGCTCGACGATGATGTTAACTCGCATTATCGCGCAAAGTAAAACGTCTCCGAAATCGCGCGGCGCTTTCTAAAACGCTCGACCGGCGCGCGTTTCTTCGCGCGAGCTTCTCGCGAAGCATCACGCATCATCGCGTCCGGCTTGAGTCGCGGCGGCGCGCGAGGCGAAGTGAAACCGAAGGCGTCCGACATTTTCAGCGGAAAATGAGAGAAATTAGGCGCACAGGCGGATCGACTGTTCGTTCCCGAGACTCACTTTCTCGCGTTAGATAATCCGGAAGTGGCGCTCCGCGCGATCATGGAGTAGCGTTTATTCCCGTCGATGATCGGAGATTCTCCCTGGTGTTTATAATCTGCGGATCTGTTTTTAACGCGAGACTTGCTCGGAACGAGATTATCGCGCGTCTAACAGTCGCTTCTCACGCGATGCCGATAATAATCGCTCGTTCGGTCCGTCGAATTTGTAAGTTATCGCAGCAAGCGCGCAAGGTATCCGCTTATCGACTGTTATCAGTTCGCGAAACGTCTTACGTCTATTGTCGTCCTCGAAAACCTCGTCCTTCGAAGTCCCGCGACACTTGGCACTCGCGATGTATCATTAATCAATTTAAGAAGCCGCGCTTTATCGGCGGTTTATGCGTCGTAGCTTCGAGTGTTGTTTTGTCGTGCGCGAGAGAGGCTGAATTGTTCTCAAACTTTTCAATGACGCTACTCTCACCACGTGGAACGTCTCGAACAGATCCTGCCTCTCGATCGAGTATGGACAGGTGTTCGAATCCAGGTGTGTATGTGTGCCCCGAGTTATTACACGGAGCGCGTCTCCATCGCGCGCTTTCTCTCGATTAGAGATGCTCCGCGTCTGCCTAAAGCGAGAATACAGCTATTCATGGTCCCCAAAACTTTATCGGGACGTAATTGAGCAAATTTAAATCAACACACGGGCAGAATTGCATAATACAAATTACTGTACAATTTGATAACCGAGGTATAGATTATGTTTGTTTTCATTTCACATACGCTATTCATATATTTCAGGAGTGTATCATTAAAAAGTTTGAACTTTTTATTAAGGACATGACGAATTTTGTTTGTTAATTTAGTGTTGGGGATTAATCAATGAAAATTTTCTTTGACTAACATAATCGACGAATCAATTGTTGAAATTAATCAGTCGTCATATATGTGAATTATTTGATTGATAAAATTAACTATTAATCAGGATGCAATCGATTATATCAAAGTTTGATTAATAATTCATTTTATCGACTAATGAAATCATCTGTGACTTCGCATACGACGACTGATTAATTTTGACTATTGATTTGTCTATTATGTGAAGAGGAAACTTGTATCGATTAGTCAACATTGAAATTTGCTACGTTCCTTAGATCCAAGTTGGATCTTACTGTCAGCCTATTTTTCTGCGTTAATGGAACATAATAAAATGGAAAAGAACATTTACATGAGAAAAAAAACTATAATATTTTCTTGACATAGAAAATCGGAATTAGAGAGATAGCGACCTTTGGTGCTTCGTCGATGACAAACGCGAGTAATGCGGGGTCAGTTGGAACGCCGGTGTCTCGATTCGCGTTATTTAATATTCATTTATGAAATGATATATCGCTGCCTTATCTAATAGGCGCGCTCGACGATATTATCCCATCCGAACAAGTGCGTTACCAACAAAGGAAACACTATCAGAGACGCGACGCGCCGTTCGCGGGAACACTTCCTCCTCGTGAAACGCGCGCAATTTTCATATTTTATTTGCGAAATTGCATCTGCCCCATCTAATCATCGTCTAACGGTGCGTCCCCGAATGAAGCCGGGGAAGAGTATCGCCGACCGACTCGGGCGTTGAACAAAAAGTGATCGCTTAACGAACTAGAAACTGGGACACGCGTCAAGGTGGCGCAATCTTCGTCAATTTCCACGGCGGCTCGCCGGGAATGCGCGTTGTTTACGCGCGGCTCGGCGACGGTTGATGTCGAGCGGGAAAAAAAAAATAAAAGAACAAAGAGAAACAAAAAGAAAACGGGTTTCAAGCTTTCCACTTGAACGGCTGATAGAACCGCTATGTATATACTGGGTGTCTGACATGAGATTACCAAAAGCGTATGTGCGGACAAATTGCGCATAAAAGAAAAGGTATGGTTGGAGATTAATTAATTTCTGATGAAAATAAACAAAGCAGAAAATTCCGGTCGATATTACCGGAATTCAAGTTAACCAGCAATCTTAGCTCGAACAGAATTCTGGTAGCCGGAATTTCTGGTTCGTTTGTAATTTAGCAAACATTTGCTAAATTACGAATTATTCGCTGATTCAGCCAAACTTTTCGTAGACCAAATTGAACAAAAAATATTTCTCTATCATTTTTCAAACCGTGTCAAATTTCGAGATATTTCGAGGAGAAAAGCCTGGACGAATCAGTGCGTGCAATGCCGATATCTCGAAATTTTACGTGATGTTTGAAAAATGGTAGAGGAATTTTTCCGTTCAGTTTCACCTGATCTATCTGTATATACGTGCTTCTGGCAGTCTCGTATCGGACTCCATGTACGTATCGCGTGTATGAGGTGCAATAAAATGCGATACGCGCTGTATCGCGCGCAAGACCGACTGATAATGAATTACGCAACGACGACCTCGGTACACGTAACGCGCTGTACGAAATCTGTGATCGCGCACCTGCGCCTCGAGGAACTCGATAAGGCGAGAAGATCTCACGATGAGAGGATCCTCTCTCTGAGAACTTCGCGCGAATAAAGGAAAGAAAAAAGCGGAATGGCGCGTTTGAATTTCGGAATATGCGTGCAGTCTCGTTGACAATGTTGACGCGACAACGAAGACTGTATTTTATCTTCCCTTTTTGTTCTGTCGTCTTTTTTATTTCGCGACTCTTGGCGTAGCGAGGACTTCAGTTAATAGCTAATCGTCAGTGGCGGACGTTACCGTTGTGCTGAGTGTTTTGCCCGCGGCGTGTACATAGGCGCGCGTGTATCGTTTGTACGCCGTGCATAATTATTAACCGGGACGTTCAGAGGAATTTAAACAGTGCCACCGACAACACCGATCGACACGCGCGCGCGCGCGCATACGCATGTACGCACGTCAGCTGACGATGATCATCCGGTCGAATGTTGGAGCAACGTCCTGTTTCGCTCAAAACCACGAGATAAAGCGCCACATCCTCCTTCCATCTACGTTCTTCTTTCCCTTTCCCTTCTCCGTCTCCTTTTTTTGAGACCGCACAGACAGTTATAGTGTAACGCGCGCTGTCGGTGTCCCGGTTTGCATTTTCCTTTTTCTTCAGTTTTTCGTCCAGAAAAAGATATTATATTATCCTCAGCAAAGTCCTCTGTTCGTTCTGAATCGTAGAGAATCTTAATCTTACATTGAGAGAAAAAAATAGTTGGAATAACTATAATCTCACTATATTTTATAGTTCGTTTTGGCCTCAAACATATATTTATACATATATTTATACATATATTTTTAACATATATTTTCCTTTTTCTTTAGTTTTCCGTTCAGAAAAAGATATTATGTTATCCTCAGCAAAGCCCTCTGAATCGTAGAGAATCTTAATCTTACACTGAGAGAAAAAAATAGTTGAAATAACTATAATCTCACTATATTTTATAGTTCGTTTTGGCCTCAAACATATATTTATAGTTCATCTAAACATGAAGATATAGCAGAATGAACACACATTTATAGTCACCATCTTATTACTCTATGTGTATAATAAAGCAAGCTTTGGGAATATAGTTACATGTACCCATATTTTCCAAATATTCCAATTGTATTGACTATATAAAATAGTTAATTTCTCTTACCGTTCAATATTTGCAACCTTACTATATTTTTTATTTCAAATGATTATAATTTTTGGTAAAAGTTTTATATGAGTCAGTTATACTATGCTTATATTGTAAATATTATAAACATTATGGTGACATTTACTATAAAAAAGATATTCCTAACTATAATCTTTTTACTGTGTCATTGTAGTTCCAAATATCATACATTTTTCTCTCAGTGTGCATGTAACTTCGAAAAGGTTTTTAAAAACCACGAGGAAAATTATATTTTTGAAATTTGAGAAATTTTGTCTTTTATCTAGAATACAAACTTCGCTTATCGCGTATAAAAAGGTATTGTTCAATTTTAAGTGAGCATATTTTTCTCTTTATTCAAAAGGAAAAATGTTCGAGTGATATCTAGTAGATTTTCTAGTAGATTGATAACCCACTTCTTTAGAAGAGGGATACTCTTTCGATAAGAGTTTTCGCATTTTACGATTTCTTTTTTATTTTCATTTTTGGGTATGA